TGATACGGATGACTAAAAGTCTGATGCAAATAATAAGTAGGAAAAAGAACCTAGGAATACTGGTATCAAAAAGTGCAGATGCCCATTCCTATTGAAGGGATCCATTATTGGAGAAGGAGATGAATGAAAATTGGAGGTTGGGTGTGGGGTGCATAGCCATACTCATTTAATTAGAGTATTTCGACTTTTGTCGAACGATTAAGTAAAGAGAAATTGATCTTCTAGTTAACATGTCTACAAGTTTAGTGAAACTCAAAGTTATTTTGAACACTAGAAAGAAAAATGATCCACTTAATGTAACAACAATGAGGACAATATACAATGCAAGGCACTATCATCGAACAAAAAAGAGAGCTAGGTGATCAGAGATATTGTTTTCCACTCCCAGAGATTGTAGAGATAACGTCAACTAATATTACATTTTTTTTGTTGCATTTGCTTTCATTGACCATGAGAAAGAAGACAATTACACACGGACATTGACAAGATTGAAGACTCTAATGAATGATTGAAACTTAGCACTTATGAATATCATTTGTAATGTTTTCTCTAGTACTCGACATTTATTATGTTGGTGGCACCTAAATTAAGCAATTGCATCCAATAGCAAGAAACACTTCACATTAGTGGAGGTTTGGAATATGTTTTTTAAAGATTGGCAACCTTGGTGAATTCATCAACATAAGAGGAGTCCTTAAATAATTGGTATGCCCTTGAATTTAAATTTAGTTCGTTTGATGAAGATATTGACTATTTGAAAACTACATGGCTGTAAGAGTACAAAAGTTTGTGGTTGCATGTACTGACACTTGTATGTATTTTGGTAAGTAACAAGTAAGTTTCTATCCTTGTTTTACTTAATATATAGCCCCACTTTTATTTTGTCTACTAACTTGTACTAATGAATAGGGCGGAAAGTGCACGTTCAAGGCTTTGACTGATGATTTGCTCTAGCCAGCTTAGTTTTGAAACTTTGTGAAATTATATTCACTCATTGTTAGAGTTGCAGCACACTCAAATACAGACCTCCTTTGAGAAGGGTCAGTGTTTTTGTCTACCATATGGTTTGAAGCATGAAGAGTTGAGAGAGTTACGAGGTTTTGTATCGATCAAAGTGTCAAACACAATTGTGTGTGAAGCAAAAAGGTAATTTGATGGATTTTCAAAAAAAAATTCAGTCAATGATAGATTCTCAAATCTCAATCTTCATTCTTTGAAAGGGAGAAGAAACAACATAGAAACCACCTTATAATTTGAAGATGTAAAGTGTGTGGGGTGTTAAAAATAAAAACATAAAATATTTATTTGAACTTAAGAAGTGAAGAGTGTGGGGTGTATTTAGAAAATGAATGGCGTATCTATGTCAAGAGTGTGAAGTGTGAGGTGTGAGGGTATTATGGAAAAGTATATGGGATGTAGTCAAACAAATTTGAATTGAAAAAGTAAATATGGGGGTATATTCAACAATAAGTGGAGTGTTATTTGTTTTGGTTGACCTTTCCATTAGTATCTAAACTAAAAATGTGATATTTTAGCTAGTTTTTTTTTCTCGTAATTGGTAATTAAACTAAACTAAAGGATCCCTTTTTAAAATGTCATTGTTCTATACACACATTTTTCACCCTTGAAGGACAAAGACACCGCCACCGCCTACCACTACCTAACACTACCACCACAATCACCACCACTCTTGTTGCCACATCCACCACAACCGCCATTGTCGTTGCCACCACAACCGCAACCACCACACCCCAGTATTCACACCACCACTATATGCTCCACCACTGTTGTTGCCACCGTCGTCGTCATTGCCCCCACCTGCACCATCTTGTCCATTTTTTTATTATACACAGCTATAGAACTTTTTCATTAAAATTTATCATAAGAATTTACACTATTTTTTCATACTCGTATTTTTTTTTTAAATACAATTTATCAAATGTGCAATTACTTTACTTTTACAACTATTTAACCTTAAAGCACAACAGAAGGATTTTTTTAAGAAAGCATAGCAATCAATAACACTGAAACAGACAATGGAGATTACAAGAAATCATCACATATGCATTCAAGGGCAGCATCTCTCATTTAAGTATATTGATACACCAAGCACAAAATGTCCACATTAATTTCAAGGGGACAAACTTCTAATTGTATTTCCTTTTCTAAAGTTTGTATTAAAAGAAAATTGCATTCATGATATATTTAGTCACAACAGATGAACATGAAGAAATCAAACTCCTTCACTTCCCCCAAGCGAAAGAAGTTCGTAACTAAGAGTGAATACAAAATCAACCAGCTATTGCCTCTGCTAGGATAGCACAAAGTTTGCTACTTATCTCCATGTGATTTCAATGAAGGGGCAGCATATCTGGCCGAGAAACCACGTTTAGTAGAGTCCTCATCATTCATTTCGTCCCAACCTTCATCGAAGTTCTGTGCATAGCTCAAAGGATCGTACCGGAAACCTCCACCGGGATTTCCAACACTTCTCTGCCTTGTGGTTGTATGTCGTCTTAATCCTCTTATACATGGAAGCTTCAACGTTAGACGTCCCCAGCAAGAAAATACACCTTCGTTTTTGTCTCTAGGAGATGGAATATTCTCCATGACTTGGGGCTTTTGCAGTACGTGCAATTTCCCAGCTGCTTAATTTTTAAGTGGTAAAAGCTTCCAACATCTCTTTCTCTCTCTCTCTCTTATATTTTAAGGATTGTTATTGTGTGGTAGGTAGAGAAGATGGTGAGAGATCAAATGGAATGAGGTCTTTGCGTTTTCAAGGGAAAAAGAAAGTGGTAGCAAAAATTAAATATTGAAGAGGAAATAAAAGTGGTGGGACGTGGGAAATCTGGCACCGACTATCAGAATTTGTTCTGGCACATACAGTCTCTGTTGGCACGGTGACGGTTTGGCAATGTGGGCCTGTGATTCATATGCTTCAACCAAACAAGCAAGAAGCAATTTGTCTTGCGGAAAGTAGATAGAAAAACAAAAATTATCTTGAAGCATGAGAGTTCTATTTATTTAGTTATCCCTAATCATAAAAAATAAAAAAATAAAAAATAAAAAATTGCTTACATCATTTTTCTTCTCCTACACACATCCATTTATTTATAGCTTTTGATTGAAGCAATCAAAGGAGAAATAGAAAATCAAGAATCATAAATAAATAGGGATGTGCAGAAGTAGAAAATGGTGTGGAAAAGTCATTTCTCAAAATTAAACATTCGTAACCAACGATATTTGAAGTCGATAGGTGGTCAAGTTTGTGAATAGAAAATTGATTGTTCTACTGACTCTTAAGTGTTGAACTAACTAATCTCAGAAGAATGATGGGTCTATAGAGGTGACATGTAATAGAATCGATCAATTTGACAATCAATGTTTAATTTTTTTCATCATTTTAACCAATGACCCTTGTTTTCATTAAATTTTACCAATAATGGTTTCAAGAATTGATTCCTAAATGCTTATTATGCTAAATATTTCAGAGATTCTCTTATAAATCTCAAAGTTGGCATGCACAAGCATTGATGCTTGGAGTAATCCCGGCAAATCTCATAATTTTTATTTACAAAATAACCAATATAATGAGTCCATAATTTTATTTAAATACTTACCAATAAAAAGAGTCAAAGCTTCGATGCTCATGCATGCTTTCTTTGAAGTCGTTGGATTGTCAAATACCATTGATTTTGTTTAAATCTCACCAATCTAACGGCTCCAAGCATCAAACCGCATAATGTCTAAATTTGCTCCTGCTTATAATAGTTGCCAATCTAAGAAGACTCATGATTTTTCGTCATTTATGAGATTCAAACGTAAATCCTCTCACGAAAACCACTAAACTATAGTACTCATTGACCACCATAGAGGACTTTAAAATTTTGAAAAATAAAAGAAAAAACGTTCAAAGCGGTGAATTATGTGTAATTATTTGATGGCGACCAAATGATGCAAGAGTTTTGGAAGTTTATTGAAAGAATATCCTATGGATATTATTAATTCCATTTAAATTAGTTCCGTGGATAAGCTAGTTAGCCATCTTCTTATCATGTACATACATTTGGTCCTCTCATTTCATTCTTGGTCTGGATTGTTTCAAGATGTGTGAGTCACACGAGGGTCCTAAACCAGCCCTTTACAGTTTTCAGGCCAGCCAATCAGCCTAATCTTTTCCTTTTTTTTTTTTTTTTTTTTTTTTTTTTTTTTGTAACAATACACGATCCAGGGCAAACTTATACGAAACCTATTTGATTATATCCATCGTTTTGGTTTGATATATTCAGTCTTATTATTGTTGACTACAATTTGGATCACCCATGCGACGTTGTAGATGCGCACCGGCGACACTTGGTGTAGTAACTACACCACAAAGTGAAAGCATAAAATGACACCCTCACACATCGTGTATTCGCGACATTAGCGCACATCATGCATCTGCAATGTTGCAAGGGAAGAACAGAACCCTAGTGATGATCATGCATTATCCTCTATGATAACATGGCCTGGTGCAGACAGGACCACCCAATCAGATGTCAGTGAAGATGCATACCAACTCCCTATGAGAACATGGCCTAGTGCAGATAGAAGCCACCAAGTTCAGGTATATGTCAATGAAGATGCATGCCTATTCCCTACGATAAGTGCAGAGAGGAACCACCCCAATTCGGGTAGATGTCAACGACCAGATAACCCAAGTAGTCTAGTTGACAGACCCTTTAACTTCTACGTCTGAACTTATTCCATACGAGCTACTCCAACGCCTTTTAACTTTTATGTGTGAAATAAATTAGACACGGTACAAGCTACTTAGAACCATAGTTCGTCTTCAGTATAGAACATCTCAAGCTAAAACAATCGCGAACAATAATTTTAAGAAGCGAGAGTGAGAGAATATAACAAAAAAATCACAACATTATGGAGCAATGACGCAATTTTTAACAGCAACTCTGTAGTTAATCAGAGAACTATCATATTGATTACTAGTTAGCATAATGTGGAAAACTTGAATAAGTATAAATATTTTAGATAGTGGAAACTACTGGACGGACAAGCATGGATTCATCGGAAGCACAAGAATCAGATCAAACAAACTGAGGACTTACATGGATATCTAACAAAATTGATTTTGGATTTCGATCCTCAAGACAAAGAAAACGAATGAATTAATATGTTTGGACACCATGAAAATCATTATCATGGGAAATGAGGCCGACGAAATCCAAAGGCATAATTAAAACAATGACCTACCATCCGAGAGTAAAAGTTGAACTGCTTACATCTACATCTTGACTGCCACCTGTTCAGCAGAGCTTTTCTTCACAACCCCTCTATAGCAGAGTTCATTCAATAACTCCAAAGCCTCTTTTGCTAACCCTTCATAAGCTATGCCTTCAATGAGAATGGTGTATGTTGCTTCAGTAGGTTGACATCCTTTAGATACCATATAAGCGAGGAAATCAATTGCACGACCAGCTTGCTTAGCCTTGCAAAGACCCAACATGATGGAGTTAAAAGTGATAGCATTGGGCTTGACGCCCGAATCTTCCAAATCATGGACAAACTTAATTGCTTCATCAACCTTTCCTTCTCTGCTAAGCCCTCCCACGACAGAAGAATAAGTAATTACATCAGGCTTTAAACCCTTTTTGCGCATCTCATGCAAAAGTTCTAAGGCACATTCTGTTTTCCCCACCTTTGAGAGCCCATCAATCACTGTATTGTATGTGATTAGAACAGGAGAGCAACCCTTGCTACTTAGTTGATTAAGTATCTCAACTGCGCTATCAACCTTTCCATCTTTGCACAAAGCTGTAAGCAAAGTATTGTAAGTCACAATGTCTGGATAACAGCCCCGAGAAACCATTATATCCAAATACTCAATCGCCCTATCCATCTTCTTTTCCTTGCCGTGAAGCAATGGGTTGTAACTCAAGGAATTTGGAGTACAGCCATGCTTAGGCATCTTCTCCAAAATGTCAATTGCTCTACCCAACAAGCCCTTCCGGCACAAGAAGTTAATCAAAATATTGAAAGTAACAACACTAGGAGAACAGCCTCTGTGAACCATTTCAGCTAGTAGTTTTTCAGCATCCATCCACCTGCCAGTGCTGCACATGCTACGCAAAACAATATTGTGGGTAATGACATTTGGTTGGCAATCAGATGACGGCATGTCGTTCAAGAATTTGATTGCTTCATCCAACCTTCCTTCCTTGCATATCCCGTTGATAAGAACATTATAAGTGACCACATCAGGCTTGCATCCTTTGCTCCTCATCTCATCCAAAAGCTTCATCGCCTGCTCAACCCCACTTTCCTTGCAAGTTGCTTCAATCAGTATGGTATACGTAATCACATCTGGATAACACTCCCTTTGCAGCTGTCGATCAAGAACTTCCATCGCTTGCTTCAATTTCCCACTATCACATAAAGTACGCAAGATTGTATTGTACGTAACAACATCTGGAGAAACACTCATTCGGTCCAAAACCCTCAAAGCATTATCAATCTCACCAGCCTTGCAGTATCCACTGATCAAGACATTGTAAGTTATAACATCAAGGATAGCCCCAGATTCTTCTAGAATGTTCATAATCCGCGTCGCCTTCCTTGTCTTTCCACTCTTACAAAACCCCCTGATTAAACTCGTACACGCAATAATATCCGGCATATCACCATGATAAAGCATGTTCTCTAGAAACTTAAACCCCTCTTCTAATTCCCCATTTCTAACCAGCCTACGAAGCTGATTATTACTCTCGAATTCCTCAAAACCATTGGAAGAGTCCATTCCATTCAAACCCCCATGTGGGGTATACTCAACATTCTGCAGCCTACCATTGGAACTAAAAGTTTCGACTTTTGACACAGCAAGTACACGCTTTCGCCTATGTTTCTGGTAACCGTCCTGTATCCCACACTGAATGCCATCGGAGAGAACAAGAAACCGAGCTCTGCTGCCCACAAAGAGCCTCCGATAATCGGGAGTGGTGAGACCAACCTTACCACAGACCCTAGCTCCAAAATTACCAGTCTTTCCTGTCCTCACCCTATCAACTCTGTGAAATGAGCAAAACCCATTAGGGGTTTGGTTCACAGGTACCATCAAATCCATAACTTCACCTATTACTTGTGTATAAAACCCACAACCCAATACTCAAAAAACCATGCTTAAACGGAAATACGGCAGAGAAACTGAATATAAACACAGATATAGCAGATATGGGTTGGGTTGGATTTTTTGTGATAAACAGAAATGAATTTAGAGCAGAAGAGATGAAGCTAGAGAGAGAGAGAGAGTAGCCAGAGCAGAGTGAGCTACCTTCGTTTCCAAACAGAAGGAGTATTACATAAGAGAGGGTGCAGACGGCAGAGGCTTGAAAGAAGAAAGAGTGAAGAGGCGGTGGTGGGTGACCATGCGCCGCCGTTTTGCTTATCCGTTTTCTGTTGTTCCCTTGTTGCTTCTGCAGAATGCGGGGTAACGAAGAGGGCATTGTCGTCGTTGGAAAATTGGGAGGCAAATGAGGGGGTGGGCTGGTAGCAGGGCAGGCCTAGCTGGCCCTCCTGATTATGTTTTTCGGCCCAGATGAGACTCGGTCCAAACATAAAGGTGTTAAATGTACGAATTTTGAAACAGATACACAACACACTGCAGGGAGCAAAGTGGATTAATAGAAGGATAACGACGCTTCAGAACTTCCTGTTTGCATTTTCTTTAAGAAAAAGAGAAGTTCATGGTTCATCTTTTAGTGGTTTATTTGTATTCAATATTAAGAAGTTGAATCTCTAGGTTTGCTTTTCTTTTTCCAGACTCTGTTTTGTCCATGAGCAAGGAGCTGGTTTTGTACAAATTTTTGTGTTTATATGGCAGCCAACTAGTAGCACATTCAGAATTCAATTGTTTCTAATGTCATTTGTTTTCTTCTATTTTGTTGTCTAGGATGTTGGAAAAGACAGAAGAAACATTCTTGCTGTTTTTTTATTTTAGGCATTGACATATGTCTTTTCTTTTTGTTCGGTTAATTTTCTAATCAATTGTTATATATTGTGTGTTTGAAAATGTTTTGTCAAATCAATATCTCTCAAAATTCTTTTTTTATACCATTTATCACAACTGTACCTTTACTTTTTTAATGAAGTGGATATTTTAAAATAAAAAAACACAGTTTTTGGCATTTATAAATGGTTTAAATGTCAAAATGATCATGTGTTATAGTCAAATGGCAAATTTAGTCCCCGTGTTTTTTATTTGGCTAATTTAGTTCTCATGTTTGTCTATGCTAGCCAATTAAGGACATTTCATTCAATCTTTTTTTTTAAAATTCATAAGAACAATTATATTATATATTATTACCATTTCTCTTTACAGAAAAATGCAAATCAATTAGAAATAACACATGTAAGAGATAAAACTTCCAATCTGAAAAATGATTAAGGTTTTGACATAGAAAAGAGAGAGGGTAATGTTAGGGAGGAGGTCAAAAAATTGGAAGAAGAATAATTTTTCTTTTAATTTTTAGTTTTATTTCATTTTTAAATATTTTAAATCAAATAAATAATTTTATAAATAAGTTTATCATAATTTATAAAAACATTTATCAAAATTAGATGGAAATGTCCTTAATTGGCTAACGAAGATAAACACAAGGACCAACTTGGCCAAATTGAAAACACAGGGACTACATTGACCTAATGACTAAAACACATGGACCATTTTAACATTTAAGCCCTTATAAATCTTTAACCCTAAAAGTCTCTTACAAGTACAAATGAAATAGAATTTTGTACGTTGCGCCGTGATTTAAAAAAAAATTGTGTACGTAAAAATGTGTGCAGAAAGAATAGTACTTATATAAAGTGAAAAGGCAAACAGAACTGATTAGTATTTGCTCATCATAAATGTACGCATGGTGTTTCCCTTATTTGTATTGTCCGAGCCAAGAACAGTTTTACGTGTATGTTTACATGCACCATTACGTTCACTTTGGATCTTGAGTAGGTGTTCAACTTGTTCCTAGATTGCACTAGGCAACTAGGACCCATATGTAAGCGCTTAGCGCCAACTCCATGTGATTATAGTTCTATAATGTAATTTACACACCCAGCTTGTTAATGTAGCTACTTTCTACATGACTTGTATGCTGCTTGCATAATTTTGATGAACATTGCAGATATTATTATTAGTGGGCACTCGTATCCTTGAGATTACTAATGAAATTTTGGGTACTTTGCTTTCTTATATACAAGTAGTATGAATTTTGGAAACATTACAGGTTTTACAGCAAAGGTTCCTATTTTAAGAAAAACCACTGTTTCACAAAACCCTATTTTTCGACCCACTCACGTTTTCTATTTTGTGCCCTTCCAAGACCTAGAGGCTGAGCTCTTATGTAGACGAGGAATAATTGGCAATTGCTAACCAGTACTTCTGATAATTTAATAAGTTAATTTCTATTTTTTGGTATAAATATCCATCATTCTAGGATGTGAATATTCTTTACTTTATGATGCACTCGTATTTATGCTTTGACACGTAGCATTGTAATAAGGGTTACTATTTTAAGAAAAACAATGGTTTTGCATGCCTTGATTCAAGTGTCCAACTGAACATTCCGGTTAGGGTGTGTCAAATTGGTATCAGAACCTAGGTTTTCAAAATTGGTCTTATGATTACTCTGATACCAGTTTGGTAACAGAGCAAAGATCTCAGAGTTCCTTGACTTTTGCAACTATGGTTTAATGTTGTATCTTCTGTTAGTTCTAGATTTCTTCCTTGAGTCTTGCCACCTCAACGACGTTGAAACACTGTAATGGTCGACTTGCTTGAGGTCTGAAACAACTTACTGTTCTACAATTCAATTACAGTATAGAAAATTGTACTTACTTCATGACGACCAGAAACTTTGGAACTCATTCTCCAATTTTGTTTGGTGTATTTGTTGTGGAAATTTTTGGGAAGAAATTTTCTTAAAGGGGTATATTGTTACGACAAGAAATCGACCTTTTAAGCTTGTACCATTATGTAGCTACTTTATACACCAATCTATTGTCGATCCAAGAAATTGGTTGGTATATTGTATTTATACACCAATCTACATGACTTTTGTGCTTGCATGATTTTGATGAGCATTGCAGAAATTATTAGTATTGTTTTACCTGTATCCTTGAGATTATTACTGCTTTTTTGGGTACTTTGTTTCTTACATATGAGTAGTATGAATTTTAAAAACTATACAAGTTTTACAGCTAGGAATTACTATTTTAAGAAAAACCACGATTTTACAACTTTATTTTTTGGCCACTCACGTTTTATGTTTTACTCCTATTAAGGACCTAGAGGCTGAGCTCTTGTGGAGGTGAGGAATAATTGGCAATTGGTGACTCGCACTTCCAATAAGGTAGGAAGTTAATATCCTTTTGTATAATTTAATATCCATCCTTCTAAGATGGGAATATTCTTTACTTTATGTTTCACTCGTATTTATGCTCTAACACTTTGCATTATATAATGGTTCAACCTCGCTCACATACGCACTCTTATTTCAATTACATAAAGTTTTAATTTACTCATATTTTTCCACATCACCATCATTTTATGGTTTCGTCACATTCCAGTGTCGGCTAGCATGCTAGGTGTGCAGGTGAACATTCCAGGTTAAAGTGTGTCAATGACGCTTCTATACACAATATCTAATCGTCGAATTCGAATCAGTATGACCCACTATCACAAGAGACAGAGACAGAGAGAGGAGAGATGGGGGAGAGAAGGCAAAACCTAAGGAGAGCTTAAGAAAACGAAGGGCTTCTTGTTGGAAGCAAAGCATAGAGTATAAGAAGATGAAGTTGCAATATTGAAGCACCAGAAGCAGAGAGAGAAAGAGAAGTTGGTTAGGGTTTTAACTTCTTGTTGGAAGCAAAGCATAGAGTATAAGAAGATGAAGTTGCAATATTGAAGCACCAGAAGCAGAGAGAGAAAGAGAAGTTGGTTAGGGTTTTAATTTTTGCGATTTGCTTTTATTTTTAATTTTAGTGGTATTTCACAAATGGTCCTTGAATTGACCCATCTCATCTAGATAGTTCTTGAAAATATAAAACGATCAATGTAATCCTTGAATATGGGTGCCCTAAATCAATGTTGTCTTCTAGTCAATTTTCGTTAAATATTCTATTAGTGTGCTGACATGGCACATGTATGGTCCCACGTGTCTAATTAAGTAACGCCATATGGAATAAAAATAATAATTTTCTAAACTAATTCAAATTCTAAAAATAGTAACAATGAATAAAAAAGAAATTTTTTTTTTTTAATTTTTGTTTAATCTGCTCATAATTTTTTAATTAAAATTCTAGTAATCCTTATCAATGGAATTTTTTTCTTGATATCAATGGAAAAGCTTGAGATCTCATAGCTGTTTGAAATTTTCCCTTTAGATCCCAGCTAGAGAAAGTTGTTGTGGGATTTAGACAAGAGTAGTTGTCGCATGCGCCAACATATAGAGAAGTCGAGGTGCTCAAGTCGTGATGCGCATATAGAGGAGTCAAGTGGGCCGCCTCTTCTCAGATCTGTAGGAGGTCAGCCTACAAGTAACGGGTTCATGGTTTCATCGTAGGTCTTTTAGCTGTGAGTTTTATCTTCGCATGAAAGAAGTAGAAGATGACATGGCACACCTAGGGGCAAATCCATTAAGAGACCCGAGACCACCCAGAAGCCCGAATAAGTGGTGTGAGTGCCTCCGGGGATCGCCAAAATTTAGGCTTGTGGTGGAGGAGAAGAGTGCAGCGACGGGCCGACGGTTGCAGGTTCTGCAAATGATTAACGAATGAGAAGAAAATTATTCTGTTTTCTAAAGGCTTGGCCAAAACAACATCATTTTAAGCTAAGTCATTTAAAAAAAATTTAAGCAAGTCTTCTTATTAACCCATGTGAAGGATACACTTTTTAATTTAAAAAAAAAAAAAAAAAAAAGTCTATTCTCTTTCTTCCTACTCAAGATCTCCACCCAGTCTCATTTTGCATTAACTTTCCTTAATTGGGTAATTCTCAATTCCAATTCTTTTTTTCCTCTAACCTCACTCAACCGATCCCCAGGCAGCCACCAGCTGCTCTACGCCTCCACTTATCTCTTCTCCATGACCACCACCTTTTTCATTTCTTTCCATATCTCTCAAGACTTGGGTCATTGAATTTCCATTTCAGTTCTTATCCACAGTTCCATGTCTTAACAACTATGAATTGAAGAAGAATTGAGCTATGCTAATGAAGAAAGGAAATAGAAAATGTAGAAAGAAGTCGAAGAAGAAGATGAAATGAAGAGAAAGAAACTAAATATTCTTGTGTTCATTGCTTTGTAACGGTAATGAGCTATTACACATATGTTGTTGTATATAGCATTTCTTACAATTGATGACTCAACACACACACACACACACACTCTCTCTCTCTCTCTCATTCCAGCTCACTTAACAAACTAACTAATTCTTAACAACTCAACTAACTTGTAACAAACTATAGCTGACATGGCATGTAGGTACATACTAAGCTATCATACATCCTCAATCATTATCCCCTCTCGATCTCAGCTAGGGTAACCTAGTTTGATACTGTAGCAA